ATGGAACTTATTGTAAGAGAATATATATGCAACAATGCAAACCTTAAGTTTCGCAGGCCCCACCAGAAACAGAAAAATAGTTTCTGTACCAGTTTTTTGGATTCGGTGTTGTGAGACTCAAGGGCAGGTTGAAATATTCCAAAGCCAAAGTCTCCACCTGGAGCGCAAGTTGTATTTAGACCATTTATAAATGACTGCATATCTGTTGCTGTACCGTTATCCCTGTTGCAGTAAAACGTATAATTGCTTGGACAATATGGACCACATATCCGATGCCAACACGAAGTTTCACGTTGAATAGCGAAGAAATACCAAAATGCTCCAAACACCTAATTAATCAAAACACAGTTTATGTTAACAAAGAATAGTAGCTAGTAGTATTTAGTCAATTGAAAAAGAAAACTAGTCCAAGAATATATGAAACTTACATGGCTTGCAAGAATGTAGAGAAAAAAGTTGAATAGACCTTTAACCCATATTCCAGAACTTTTTGTAATTTTTTCAGACGATAGGTATATTCGATAAATCCTTGCAACGTATTGAAGGAGAAGAAAGAAATTCAAAATCTTCCTATTTTCCAAATATCTAGGGCCTCCCATTTTGAAAAAGATGACTACAAGCAGTACCTAGACAAAATAAACAACCAATTCAACTAAGTTAGTAGCTCACACCAATGCAATGATTAATTGTTATCACAAATTAAAAAATATAAAATAAACACTTGAACTTTGTGTTACTTGTGGGACGGGAAGAACAGCAAGAATGTCAGTTATGAAAGAGCGCCATCTCAGCTTTTCCCATATTGCATCAACTTGTTCAAATGAATCGAAAAATCTCGAAACCCAATCGGTCGACTTTGCTGCTGCTTGTTCTTCTTCATTGGGATCCGACTCCTCGGCCACAGCTTTAATGGCTTCACGAATTTGATATACAATATGCACTATGAAGGTGACATCAAAGAGGGACCGCAGAACAAGTGCTACGTTCTTCAACTTGACGTCCATGTCAAGGCACTTGTTTTTCTCATCGATTATTGGTATGTAAAAGAACAAGGGATCTAATGAAACTGCAAGCACACATGCAGTGACAAATATGGTGTTCCACGATGGTTTCAAAAGAAGAACAAGTTTTTCAACGGTCGTTTTCTTCTGGTTTGTTTGTGAAGTAGCATATTGTGGAACTGATGGTGCACTTGCCCGCTTGGGCTGGGGATGAACTGAGTTTGGCCTTCGTCGGAAACTCCCTGTGCTACCGTTGGCTGAATAACCTCGCGGAACGCTGGAAGATATTAAAAAGAAAAAAAAAAGAAAAAGAAAAAATCAAATTACTATTTCAAAAACTGAGATGCAAAAATAGGAAAAGATAAATTTGATTGGAAGAAATTAACTGAGAATGACCTTAGTTGAATTCGCTGGTCCTCCAGGTCCTCCACACTACCAGTATTCATGGTTATGATAAGATTACCGAAATATATTCCAAATGTTTGAAAACCTAATGAAGCTGGAATAGGTAGCTTCTTGAAGCCAATAGGGAACAGAACATTGTTAGATTCAGTTTTATAGACTTACTGTTAGCTTGAAAGCAATAGATGTTGGAAGTGTGAAAGCAAGAAATATTAGCTTGAATTGTGGAGACTTTGGGAGGCTGCTGATGTTAGCTAGACCAGTTGTAGGTTGATGGGGATGGCTTGACTTTGATTAGATTAGCTACTGCAATTCCACACCACTTGTAATTAATATTGAGCTTGCTTAACAAGCCTTCTTCTTGTATATATATCCTGCTGTATGTATTACAAAATAATCAATGAAAACTGAATACAAGTTGAAAACTAGAAAAATTATCTTCTCTCATTCTCATATTCTCCCATAGTCTCATATTTGACACTTACCTGCACGCATCAGCTCAACTCAACATGCAATAATATAATTAGGAAATAAAATGAGAGACTTTGCCTTTGTAGTTGACGAATAACCAGCGATAACTATGTAGTCTTTTCTTAATATTTTCTTCCTTAGTTAATTCTTTGCCAACCATAGACTTGTCCGTTCTTAGTCTTTTCCTAATTGCCTTTGTAGTTTTTATTTTTTATTTTTACACAAGTAATATTGGGAGAGACGGCGTTTTCTTTACGCATAGTTTTTGCTAGTTGCTAACTTTTTTCAAGGTGACAGCTGACAAATCAGCAACTGGAAAAGAAAAACTGTATTCCAGTATAATACTGGCAAGTTGCTGATTGACTAAGATCTTAGTCAATTAACTTCGTCGCGTACGTCAATGTATAACAACTTGTGGTTGGAATCGTTCCTGGGTCTGGATGAGGATATGTATCAAACTATTTAGCTTCTGAACAAGAATTGAAAATATATATCGAATTGAAAGCAAATGATTTGCAATATGGAAGAGAAGAGATGTTCAATTATAAAGACTTGCGATATTCGATATTAGCATAATTAATTTGGAATTTTAAAATAAAAGAGATGGGGTGGAATAAAAAAAACCAGGGTATAAGTGGAGTCTTGTTTGTAGTAGTCGTTGACGAAGAACTTGTCCAAGTCCTTACCCAAGTCCTTGTCCAAGATTAAATCTTACCCAAGATTAAATTCCCTTTGTTGACGAAGAACTTGTCCAACTCCTTACCCAAGTCCTTGTCCAAGATTAAATTGTCACGACCCAACTCCCCTAGCACGATATTGTCCGCTTTGAGCCCCCCTCTCTGCCCTCACGGTTTTGTTTGTGGGAGCTCACGAGCAACTTCCCAGTGTGTCACCCATCCTGGGATTGCTCTAGCCCCCAACTCGCTTAACTTCAGAGTTCCTATGACTTCGAAGCCAGTGAGCTCCCAAAAGGCCTCGTGCTAGGAAGAGAAGTGCCCACACATTTAAAGCACTTCACCTTTCCCTCCCCGAGTGATGTGGGATTGCTCACCGTTCTTGTTTCCCCAAGACACGGGTCTTACAATCCATCCCCCTTGGGGCCCAACGTCCTCGCTGGCACACTTCCGGTTGGGGTCCGGCTCTGATACCATTTTGTCACGACCCGACTCCCATAGCACGATATTGTCCGCTTTGGGCCCCCTTCTCTGCTCTCACGGTTTTGTTTCTGGGAACTCACGAGCAACTTCCCAGTGGGTCACCCATCCTGGGAATACTCTAGCCCCAACTCGCTTAAGTTCGGAGTTCCTAAGAATCCGAAGCCAGTGAGCTCCCAAAGACCTCGTGCTAGATGGAGGCGGGCATGTACATATAAGGTACATCACCCCCTCTCCGTTGGTTGATGTGGGATATTACAATCCACCCCCCTTAGGGGCCCGACGTCCTCATCGGCACACTCGCACCACACGGCAGAGTGGCTCTGATACCAAATTCAAATTGACAGGAACCGCCCCGAATTCCTCGGAACTTGAGACGAATCCTGTGGAAATTCCGACATCACACCGATGCCGGGCTCACTTACTAAAAATTTAGCCTCTTTTTCAAATTAAGGGAAAAGAGCACGAGACTTTCTGCCAAAATTTCGGCAGAGTCTCCCCTGTAAATTGAACATTCCCCAAAAATTCCAACCTGCATAAAACACATTTAACAATACCAACCTGCAGCATGCACAATATAAACTCAGGCAATTCATCTAATTGGCCTCCGGCCTTCAAATATTCCGAAACCAAACTACCAATTTGTCACGACCTAACTCCCCTAGCACGATATTGTCCGCTTTGAGCCCCCCTCTCTGCCCTCACGGTTTTGTTTGTGGGAGCTCACGAGCAACTTCCCAGTGTGTCACCCATCCTGGGATTGCTCTAGCCCCCAACTCGCTTAACTTCAGAGTTCCTATGACTTCGAAGCCAGTGAGCTCCCAAAAGGCCTCGTGCTAGGAAGAGAAGTGCCCACACATTTAAAGCACTTCACCTTTCCCTCCCCGAGTGATGTGGGATTGCTCACCGTTCTTGTTTCCCCAAGACACGGGTCTTACAATCCACCCCCCTTGGGGCCCAGCGTCCTCGCTGGCACACTTCCGGTCGGGGTCCGGCTCTAATACCATTTTGTCACAACCCGACTCCCCTAGCACGATATTGTCCGCTTTGGGCCTCCCTATCTGCCCTCACGGTTTTGTTTCTGGGAACTCACAAGCAACTTCCCAGTGGGTCACCCATCCTGGGATTACTCTAGCCCCAACTCGCTTAAGTTCGGAGTTCCTAAGAATCCGAAGCCAGTGAGCTCCCAAA